AGCTTACTTGACCAGAGATAGCCTTCATCAATCTAGGGTGAGATATTTCCAGCCATTAAGGCTCAATTAACTGAATCTCATCATTAACTTTGCCATGGTTTTGCCCTTGACTGACATCTGTTTAATTAATATAATGTCATCTGTGACATCACACTTACCCTTTCTGCCCAATGCTACATTAACTTCTGCAAGTTCCCCAGTAGGGAGAAGGATTTATCACTCATTAGCATTTAATACTAAGATTCTAGAGGGCTCCTTGGCCAGCTCTGTAAAGACTTCTGATTGAAAATTATCTTGGAATATCAATTTGAAATTATCTAAATATAATTTTCTTCCTATTAGATGTCACTTAACAGTCGCCTTGGTCACTAAAATAAAAAGTATTTTATTTCTGTCATGTCATACAAGAATATTTTTAAGCTCCTTTGCAAATACAACAAATTAAATGTAGGAGAACTTTTCAAGATTGCCAGGATCTATTCCTTGGAGATGTGCAGAAGAAGGAAGTCCCATCAAAATCAGTCTTGAAATAACAAAGTCTTTTGGGGGACGATCTGAGGGTAGGAATATGACCACCGTTTTTCTAAGAGTGGAAGCTATTTCTTGACAGACTTTAAAAGAAGAAACAAAGACAACCCCTGCCTCTTGGTCTGACACTAATACAATTACACAAAGCACAATGAAGTGCCAAGTGATCATTTATAGCACACAATGTGAGAAACCTAAGCCTCCAGGAAAAAAATAAATGAGAAAGGAAACAGGGAGCTAGAGTAACTATTTCAGGATTCACTTGTTTTTGTTCAGGGATGTTGCAAACTGTAGACACCTACCCACTGCGTGCTTCCTCCCCAGCAAGTTGCCGAATCAGAGACAGGCATGAGTGTTCCTGAAAGCCTGGACCTGCCAAAATAATTCTTGTCACTTGGGTAGTGAGACTTGTTTCTTTCCTGACACACTTTTCAGCCAGAAAAGCTGCTTCGAATGTGAATCTGAATTTTCCCAGACACCTCAGAGATTTGCTCTCTGCCTCTGTCACTGTCTAGTCTCGGATTTGAGAGCTGAAGGCATGAGAATAGCTGCACCTCTTGTAGCCCAGGCATCCGAATATATCTCTATGGATGTGCTTTCCCGAGACCTTATGAAGCCAGATGAAGGAGAACCTGGACTTCTGTGTGGTACTGGATACACAGAAAAGTGTCTGGATACACTAGAAAAAGCTTATTCTCTCTTTCCTTTGACTCTGCCTTCATACTCGACACACAGAGTACAAATATTCCTGCTCCCATCTTGTTCTTCTGCAGCCTTCCTCTCCCCTCCTTCCTCTTGCTGACATCCCAGCAAAAATCATACTGGGAAATTTGGAGAGTCGAGTTCTCAGCTCTGGCAATTCAGATTGATTTGCAGATTTGATTGAAAAAAAGATTTTCGTCCCCCTGTTAACAACCTGCAAATGTAGTTATGGGAAGCAGGAATCCCCCAGTTTCAAACATTTTTTTCTAATGTTGTCTTTCTTGCAAGAGTGATCTGACATATCAGACTGTGGCATCGGCTATAGACAATAAAATGAAATCTGCAGTGCTTCCTTCCAAAATTCTTGATGGTGTCATCAAAAACCAATGGGGGATTATGCTGGAAGCCAAGTTCCTGTTTTGAAGCACAGGGTTCTAGAAGCTGTTCTTGCATTTTTACTTCTTTTGGCTCAGAAAAATAGAGCAATAAATTGAAAAACACCCAGATTTGATGGGTGACCATCCTAGAATTAGAATATCCGTCAGAAAATTGAAGTATTTCAGCAAGTCTTCAAACTGTTTTGGTTCAGGAATGCTGCCATGATGCCACACAGCTTCAACAAAGATTATCTAAAAGATGTGAGTTCCATTGTTTGCCTAAACATGGCTGTGTAATGTCATCTAAGAGGCTGCAAGCTATCTGAGAAGTCCACAAGACGGACAAATATGACATAATACCAGTGAGAAAATTATACCCTTTAATGAGAGAGCTGGAGGCTGAGGAATGACCGATTTAAAACAGGGCTAAACCTCTCCACCTAGGCAATTGCAATGAGCTGACTACTCATGCTCCTCGACCCGTCATTTCTGTAATGAAGCTTAGCCACCAGCTACTTGTGTTGACACACATGTGGATGCACCACTACAGCTATCAGTGCTTCATCTCAGGTGAGGGCATGTTCTGGAGGAGGCTGACAGAGAGGAAAGCACCAGCAGTTTGTTGGGGAAACAATTGGACCAAATCCCACAGCTTGTGCTTGGCAGACAAGCCAAGGAGGATGACTCAGCCCTGCCACTGTTTAAGAGCCTGAGCTTGTGACATGAGCAAATGCAGCAAAACACTCCCGGCTGCAAGTCCTGCTCCCAAACACAATTATCATACTTATTTCAGGACATGGAGGCAAACCTGAATGCCATATAGCAATCCTGCTGAAAGCTGTGCTGTGAAAGCAAGGGTGGTTTTTGCTTTAGAAAAACTAGTATTTCAATAGCAATTTCTAGTCAAGGCTGTCACAGGTCTTTGCAAGCTTAATCAGGGGATACTGATGAACAATACAGTGATGTATTGTTCAAGCTGTTGGTGGTGGAGGGTATCTGACAGATGAAGGAGTTGCCATGTGCACATTAGCAATGTGTGAATGAAGAAAATGTTATTCTGGTAGAACRGCACCTGAAAATGAAGTCTGGAGCAAAGGGCTAAGGCACTCTCTGCAAGAGAGTAATTTGGCTGTGTAGAACACAGATAGCACCTTCAGCTCAAGAGCTCCAAACAGTTGACAAGCATTAATTAACTTACAGCAGAGCTGTGCATACTCTCAGCACTGGCCAGCATCTCCTTCTGCTAAAGGAAATAGCAAAATTCCCAGTCTTCAATATCAATGTTGCTCCATTCCTGTCTGATTTTGGAAAACCCAGCATTGATAACTGCAACTGATAACCTGCCCAGGGAGGTTGTGGAGTCTCCTTCTCTGGAGGTCTTCAAAACCCGTCTGGATGCCACCCTGTGCCACATGCTCTGTGTGTCCCTGCTCGAGCAGGAAGGTTGGACTAGATGATCTCTGGAGGTCCCTTCCAACCTTGAAAATTCTCTGATTCTGTGATAACATCATCTGCATCCATGTGAAGATCAATGTCTTCCCTTCTGTAGATGCAGCTAAACAGAAAGCCAAGTGCAGTTACAGATATTGAGAGCTCCTGCAGCTTAACACATAGGGACAACCCCAGGGACCCAGGACATGTTTCAGGTTTTGACCCAGTTTGATGCATTTATTTTCTCTTTCTGCCTCACTTTTCTCAGCTATAAAAGGAGTAATGACTCTGGTTTCTCTGGAATTGCCTTTGGGACTTCCAAGACAAGTTCCCAGCAAATCACCTTCTTGAGCACCTATAGAGTCTCATAAATCAGGGATAGTGGACATGCTGACCAGAAGTCAAAAGACGAAACCACAAGTGAGCCGCCAATTTACAAGCATGTTCCTGGGTGATCCTTGGGATTTGGATCTTATCAAGAAGTTCAAAGAGCCACTGCCACAGCACCAAGCTCCTGCCTGCAGATCATTGCCTGAAGTAGGCTGGAACCCAGCAGCCTGCTGCTCTATTGCCTGTGCATACGATATATAAATTATTGAATAGATATATCACAGGAGACAAGGAACTTGGTATCATGTTAAAGAGTACTGTGTTTAATGTATGCATTTGGGCTGTCCTTATCCATGGCTGGGAACCTAGAAACTTCCCTAGTTTGTGACAAAACCCAAACAAGTTATTTTTTTCCTGGATTCTATTGCTGATATTTTCTACTTGTGAACTCAAAATTAAAATCAGAAAAGAAAAAAATCATTCTACTAGCAGCTTTCAGTATGAATTTAAGCCTGGGCAGAAGATTGGAGGATGTATGTCAGCTCTTGTTTATTGAGCTCCAAAAGAGAGCCCTTCATGTCTTGGAGTGGGCAGAAGAAATAAAACAAGGGCAATAAATATTTGTGCTTTGTCTGCAAAGGAATTTCTCTGTAAGCCTCACCAGTATCCAAAAATACTCTGACATGTTATTTTCTCCTGTCTCCTATTGATTCTTGAAGCTGTCACTGTGATAGACAGTGGAAAGTACTCTGCAAACACTCTTCTCCACAGAGAAAGCTTTCAGTTACCTTTTAATTTTTCGTTTAATTTTTATTTTCATATCTTCAGTGTCTTTCGCGTGCCAGGAATGAGGATTTTTTGTTTCAAGCCTAACTCAGATTTTCACCTTCTTCTGCATTTCATAATTCCTCACTGATATTATTCTTGATGTAGTTTTCCATCTGGGAATTTGGTACCAAAAGCTAACAAAGGGCTGGTTAAAAATTAATTGTTCTCCTTTCTAAGGAAAATAAATAAATGAAAACAGATTAGCCAATGTGCTAATAATATGCATAAAATAATAGTGTCTGCTTGAAAGCCTGGCTAGTGAGATACGTATTATTGTGAGCTGCTTGAGTGATCTGCAGAGATAATTCTTGAGATGGATTTGCTCCAAACCTCTGTCTTCACCTAATAAGCAGAGCGTGTTTCCTGTGTATTAGTTAGCCATCTGAAAATGCTTGAATATATTTATGAACCAATTTTAGCGTAGGCATCACTGGCAAATTGATTCCTGTTTTTATCTTTCTGCACAGAAAAGCTGCTTGATGCCTCAGCCTCTGGGTGATAAACTGAAACTTTAGGGAGTTTCAGAGGTGGCACCAGACCTGGAATTCATTTCATGCCCAGGAGAAATCACTTTTGCAATGGCTTTTCTTTTTCTTTGGGGAACTATTTTGGTTTGGAAAAAAAAAACCTGTGCTAATCTGATAGGAAGAGTTTTCACAATCTTGGTAGAGAGGTGAGTCTGTCCATAGAGATAAACTTGCTTGGTCTGTGAAAAGGTCTGTTAGTTTTAAGGACTGCTAGACTAGAGGCTGGCAAGTTTTTCTACCTCTTTCTGGCAAGACCACTGAAAACATAAATTCCTACCTAGCTCTCAAGCGTGGGGGCTCCTCCATTCCTCTGCCATCAGGAACACAGGAGGAAATGGCTTCTCCTTGTGCCTTTTTCAGTGCTTCTGTACCTCACATCCAACCCAGGGCAGGCAGGAGATGAGCAGCCTCTTCAGCAATGGCCAAGCTGGATAATGACATGAGAGAAAACACATCAGTAAGACTTCTCTGGAATTTCCCTCCTGCAGAAAATTCCTGTTTTTCAGAGTTTTCTTTTGTTATTGATCATGAAAGGGATACTCTGAGGAGCTGAAAAAAATAGTAATTTTGGAAATGTTAAAATATTTGAACCGTTTTTTGATTGACATGAAAAATCTTAGCATTTTTATATCAGAAATGTCTCTACCCTGTCCAATTCAAGACCAGGAAATGCTGTTACACCTCAACTGGAGTGATTAGGAAACAGGAGATGGCAAGTACACAAAGGAACGGAAAAGAAAATGACACGGTTTATTGCACATTATTTAGAAATACTCAGGATTATATGGAGGGACGCAATGAGGGCCTGAAAGTGTTGTAGTTGTAGTTGCAAATTTGCACAGGAATTAATGGCAATACCTGCTGAGGAGTTCTGCAGGGTGGGTTCTGATGAGCTCAGAGTTATGATGAGTTTTTTGCAGCGGATGCGTACAAAAGTGACTGCAGTTAAGACTGTAACAAGATGAGTTCCAACTGAATGCCATCTCTGCTGCCATGCCTTGCAGCGTAAGAGCCAGTGAATTGCAGTTCAGTGCCTTGGGAATCATGGATGTCATGCCCTGGTTCTTGCTCACATGCTCTGTCCTCGTCCCAACCCAGGAGCCTTGAGAGTTAGAGGGAAGAATGAGGAAAAATATTTTGCTTCCAGGAGAAGACGCCTATTGCTTGCAAATAAAACCAGGCAGATGGCCTTCTGAATTTCAGTCCTTAATTAAAAGTGCTTTATTCTCTAAGCTAATTATAGAATAATCCCTGCTGTGGGAGGGGCTCCTTTGGCATGGCAAGGATGGTAACGAACATCTCATTCTGCCTCCTCGTCAGTCCTTCGTTCTGCTGCCTTATGAATAAAAATCTTCCTGGCTGTTTGCCCTGAAGTAGACCCTAAAGAGAGGAAAAAAACGTAATGAAAAGGAGGTTTCAGACAGCCCTGGTATGAAGAAAGAGCACAGAGGTAGAGGGAAGCCGGGCGGACAGCTCCGCCAAGCACCAGGGCTCTGTTGCCTCCTGGGTTCCTGGGATCTCCATTTAAGTCTAGATCCCATAATCAGCTGTGTCTATTAACAAAAACTACATTACTTTCAATTGCCTTCACTGGGACAAAAAACTACCTTTGGACAGTATTTTGCATGACTAGAAGACATTTCAATCTGTGCTGCACCTCTTTTCTTTTGGATTTGTAGTTTAAAATAACTTCAGCCTCACCACTTCATAGGAGCCCTAAAGGGCACCTCGCTGCAAGCCCTGGCCTCTCCATCCAGGAAAGTATACTAATGCTTGTCTTTCATTTCATGAGCATGCAGCCTTGTGGAATAAAGCTCAAAACACAGACATCAAATTCAGCAATAAAGGATAAAGTTGCAAGTTTAACAGCTTGAGCAATGCTGGTGCTGTGAGACAGAGCCCGGTCCTTGATTCTCAGGGATCTTGGGGCAATCTTATCCCAATGAAATAGCCTTTGCTGATGAAAAGTGACTCCTATCTCCCAAGCCTGTCAAAGGGCACCTGTCATTTCGATGGCACTGCTACACAGTGAAAGATAATGGCAGGCTTTTGTCCTCTTCTCTTGTCTGTCTCCTGTGATCCTTCCTAAATTGAAAAACAGTGAGGTTCACCCTCTTCCCTTTCATCCCTTGCTGATACTCATTTTTCCTGGGTCTCCAAACATTGTCCTAACTACCTCCAGCCTTGCCTTGCAATTAAAGAAATAGCAAAGGTTGGTGCCTACAGTGATCTGCTTGACTCCTTGCAAGAGCCTTGGGCTGGCCCAATCTTATCTCAGCAAACCTTGGTGTTATCAGTGAGTGTCAGCAGGGACTGTGTCTTTCACACAGGACTTAAGAGAGAGAGAGAAATGCCAGGGAGATAAAGATCAGCACCATCTCCATTCTTTTTCTCCATCAAAAGAAATGTGAATGAAAAGGATCTTTTCTAGCCCTTCTCCAGGTCAAGGGAGGAGGGGGTCAGGGGAAAAGGATGGAAAAATACTCAGCAGATGAGAAACTTTTCGTACAATTTTTCCTGCCTGCAGATGCTATATATAGGTTTAATTAGAACATGAAAAGCGACTCAGGATTATGCCGTGAGATCTGTTTCCTCAGCCATGTAGCTGGTGCCCTGTGGTTTCAATAACGCTACCCTGGCTCCGCTAGCCTCCAAGAAAAATATCTACCTATGGAAATGGCAGAATTATCCTTTTGCTATCTTGGGTCAAGGCACTGTCTGAGCTCAGGAAAGTAAGAGGCAATGCTTTAAATGTTCTCTAATTATCTCTTGTAAAGGTTATGGAGGAAGCAGCTTGGTGCCTTGTGAATTGAATTCTTGGGAGGGAGCCCCTTGAAATGAGCTTCTTGACTGGACGCTGGAAAGTTTTGTCTCTTGCTCCACAGAAGTCCTTGTGATGGAGGCAGATGAACCCTTTCTTGCCTGCTGTCTACCAGCCAGGTCCCCTCTGGCTGCCATTGCTAGTTCATTTTACAGGAGCTAAATGTCACCAAGGTTCCTTGTCCTATGGCTCTGGACAACAAGATTGAGGCCACATCCAGAAGCCGAGCTGTTAGTGGGGATACAACCTCCCTGCAAGATGCAGATACTGGCCACAATGAAATAGGATGGGAACTCCATTTCTGCCATGAATTTGCTACATGACTTTGGGAATGTTTCTCCTCAGCCATCCCATCACCAGATATAAATGGTCAGTGTGTAGCCTGGGGAAAAGGATTACCAACCACAGTGACCGGATTACAGGGATCATGTTTGAGGAAGACAAGCATGGTTCTCATCAGTGTCCAACGCCTTCAGAGAAACTAGAACTTTCCAGTTAAATCCAAATTCTTTTTTTTTTTTTTTTTTTTTTTTTTTTTGGTTAGCAGTAGATGGACCTGGAAACACAGCTTTCATAAGATTTTAACCATCCTTTTCCACAGTGCCTTTTTATGAGACACGGGTTGGTTTTACCATTGGCTGAAGTCGGGTGGATTGCTTTCCTACTTGAAGGCTCTCTCAATTACCATCATCAAAACAGCACTTCTGCGAGGAGCGGCTCAGGAGGAAGGCAGAAGGAGCATCTGGGGCTGCTCCTATGTCACTGGAGATGCACTTAGAAAAGCTCTTTGCTAAAGCGCACAGCCGCCTCGCTTCTAATCCCCACCATTTTCTTCTCGCACAAGTTAGCTGGCAAAACTGCTGCAGCAGCTTTTTCTCCCGCCTCCTAGGACGATTATTTTTTTACTGTCATGATTATTGAGGGCAAAACAAGATTTATTTTCTGTAAAGCAAGCCATGTTATTGTCAAGACAGATTTAAAGGGTTGGATTAGGAAGTCGTATTACAATACATTTTGTATGAAAATGAAATATCAGGAGCAGTTTCTTGGCAGACCTAATGGCTTTTAGGGCTGTTCTTAGGGAATAGCAATTCCAGGCAGGGACTCTATGGAGAAAGTACACTGTGGTGGTCTGAGAGACTAAAATAATGAAAGAGTCAAACAGAATGGATATACATGAGCTGGGAAGATTAATATTTAATGAATGGAGTGAAGTCTGCTCTCCCCTAACCATGGTGTGCCTGGGATTTGCAAAGTGGCTAATTTTAAACTATTTTGTATGGAATTATTCATGCATTAGAAATGACATCAGTCTCTTGCAGTTCAAGTCATTGAAACAGAATTAAACTCAGTGAAATGTAGTCATCCAAAGGTTGGGCATCAGGTCCACCTACAGAGAAGGCTGTGCAAGAAAGGCATAGCTTTTAATAAATACCCTGCAGAGTTAGAAAAGGTGAACTTGGAGCAGAAAGGCTTTCTGCTGGCCTCTGATGTGACACAGGACATCACCTCTACGCCCCAGCTGCCCTTGGATGTGTTCTGGGAGGCCTCGCATGGAGTGAGAAATGGTTGAGATGTAGTAGCGCTTTTAGGGTTGGCAATGTCAGTGGAAAGTGATTTGATATGTCCTCATCCTCTGATGAAGATTTCTTGGTTTCATTCCTTGTAAGGAAAAGCCAGCAAGGGATAACAGAGCCACAAAAAACAGGAAAACCACTATGCAAACATAGCATAGGGCTACTGGAGTGGAGGAAGCTTCTCTTGAGCAATGGCTCTAGCACCACTGCCATCATCATCTTTTTTTAATAGTTTGCATAGAGTGATAAATTAAATAACACTTGCTGATTTGAAGTCTAGAGAGTCTTTACTCTGGCTGGAGCAAGTGATTTTTGGACCTCAAATCAGATGATTCTTACGGCATTTTTCCAGTCTTTTTTTTTTTTCAGTGATTTCTGATAAAAGGAGAATGTTCCAAAGCAAATGTCACTTTAACTTGAAAATTTTTATAAATGGAGGAGAAGGATGGCAAATATTTTCTTCCCTGCCACCTTTTTCTGTCTTGTTTAAAAGGTTTCCACTCTGTCCCTGCTAGAAAACAGTTTGCTGGAGCTAATGCACCTTCTTGCAAGCCACTGCTTTGACCTGACCCTGTATTTTGTGCAGAAAGCAAGAGGCAGATGGTAATGATTCTTTCATGCCTCACAATCTATAAATTCAATAAACTCATTGGCTTAATGAGAGAAGGAAAAAAGAAACCAAATTAAAAGTGTTTACAGCTATTCAAATACTATTAATTATACCAACAAGAATTGCAAGAGTTGAGGAAGAGAAAAAATAGGGAAATAAGAAAAGGCAGGGAATGGAAAGGCAGAACACGCTGGAGATTCATTTTTTTCATGCATGCCTGTGTGATTTCTTGTATACAGGAGACTCCATTACCAGCACAAATGCTAATGACGAGACGAAGTCATTAAGAATATATGGCAAGTAAACATTGCAGGCAGGAATGAGGGAGTCAGACCTACTGCCTTAGCCATGATCCTTGGAGCAAAATTACTTGTGCTAGTACCAAGGGGGGAAAACAAGATGTGCAGATGTGTCTGCAGCCTCTTGCTCCATGTGTACTGAAGCAGTTAAAGCATTTTATTTTGATGCTTCTGAAATAAAACATTTGACTTTGAAATCAATTTATTCTCCATTTGAATAAAGTAGAACAAAAGGTGGGCCTGAAAGTGAAGAGAGAACATCTCGCTTCAGCTAGAGGAAAATGTTTTAATCAACCCCACTAAGCAGTTTTCTTTCATTTTCTTTCTTTCTTTTTTTTTTTTTTTTCTTGGAACTTACCAAGAATCTGACACTGGGATTGTCCAGAGGGCATTTCCTCTTTCTTCATCTTTTTTTATTTCATCCCTGGAAAAAAAAAAATCCACTATGTTCACAGCAATTATTGTAAGAACATCTAGAGAAAAGCAAATTAAATCCCAGTTTGAATATTAAACATAATTAAAAGACTTTTCTCCATTGTACGTTGTTCTCCTATCTGCATGTCCATAAATGTCAACGTATTAATGGTTACAATTTTCTCAAATGTAGGAAATACTCTTCCCTCTCATTCTCTTTTTTAAGCATTAAATACAGACAGCAAATGATGCTCCTATTAGCCTGCAAAAAAAATTCTAAATGGTTCTGTTTCATCATCAACCCAAAAGACAACCCTTCCTTGCCACTGATTGTTGCTGGTCTTGCATATACTCTTTAAATCAAGCAAGGCATGGGTATATTTTAAAAGTTTTTAGCTTATTAAGCTCCAGATCATAAAAAAAAATGGAGAATTAATAACTCAAAATGTGATTAATCTGAATTGTGGAGTTTCTTTGGATAATCAGGGCAGCAGGGAAGTGGAAACTCCCTGCTCTGTAATGAAATGAAGAAAAGGAGAGAGTGAGAGTTTGTTCTCTGCTAGAATTGCTCATCCTGGTGTTTGACCACAGCTCTGGAATTCGTCAACAACCATCCCACTGAGGCTTTCGGCCTCCCATGATTTTTGCTCCCCGTGATTAATTTCCACAGTCATTGTGCATTATTATCAGGATAATGACCTTTAATTCCTTATTTCTTTGATTTGATTTAAAGCCTGCCATTGGCTCTGGGCAGCTACATTTCTATTAGCATATTCACAAAGGGATAAAGCACCACATGCAAGGTGAACTGTTACATCTTGATGAATTCATTGGGGAAAGCTCCCTAAAGAAGCTAAATATACTCAAGTGTGCCCAGCAGCAGTTTTTAACTTATTCCGTCACCAGCAGCCAGAAAGAAGAGCATTAAAACACCGAAAGTTAGAGACCAAAAATAAGATGGGGGGGAGGGGGGGAATAAAAGAACATGCATTTTTTTACTCCTGTGGCAGTGGTGACCTACAGACCAAAAAACTTGATTTAGGGACAACTGAAAACCAGTATCTTGGGGATAATTTGAGGTAAAATATACAAATGCTGGTGCAGAGCATGCCCAAGAGGAAGTGGATGCGGGTAACCCATGGGCGTACTGGCTTTGTTCATTGTGTTGGAACTGTCCGAGGAGACAGCTCACCTCTCCCACGGGATCACAAGGCTTCTACCCATTCACATCACACTGATGACCATCAAGGTGAGGCACCATGATCATGGCACCCTGACCATGCCGGCTTATGAGGCAAGAGCCTGTGGTCAAGCGCAAGAGACCCAAGAGGAAGAGAGACAGACGGACATGGCAATTCCTTGCTTGCTTTTAGCTAAGCCTATTTGTTAGATGCACTCCAAATCCTGCAACATTTTGGCTGCTCAGAGATTTAATCCATGGAGTGAGCCTTGTTTTAGAAAACAAACCACGTTTTCCAGCCTTTCCTGCTAAGAGCTGTCCTTTGCTTGCTACGTGCAAATGTAAGCAGCTTTCCTCTGCTTTTCAAAGGAGTTTCTGATCAATACCGCTGGCCCAAATTTCCCCACTGCTTCAGTTTTCCAGTTGAAAATAAGGACTTACAGAAACTAGAATATGTAGCTGAATGGATTGATTTTGTCAAGAGTTTGTATGAAAAAAGACTGAAATGGGAATTGAAACCTCTCAGTCTGGTTCTGTAAAACTCATGCGGAGAGTTGAAAGGCTACAGCTGCAATGGACTCAGCTGCCCATATCAAAGTGAAGAATTTCAAGGTTTGTCAATACATCTGACACTTCTCAGAAGGTTCATTTGGTGAGAAATGTCAGCTTGCTCTCAATGCCAAAAGGTTGTAAAACATGGTGTGATGCAGAGGAAATGTTCAATGGGTCTATGCCAGCTCAAGGGGCTGGAAAGAGTCTGAGAACAGCAAAAAAAAGCAGCACCAGAGCTTTAGATGAGCAGTGCTGGGATGGTTGGTGCTTGGTGCCCCACAGCTAAAGGTCTGTCCCAAGATGATGCATTATTCCCTTCCTTTTGCTTTCCTTGTCCCCAGTTTCTCTGTTACCCACACATAGCGTGTTCTCCTCCACCTCAGTATCCATCACRCACATCTCTGACTCGTTATCCTCTATCCTCGTTGCTGGCTCATTATCCAAGGAGCTTGGTTGTGCAACATCTCAGTACCACTGTTAGCCTGGCAGCAGCAACAAAAGCACAGGGTTAATTAAACRCACAAGAACATAATTGCAATTAAGCCCAAACAAACTGCTGAATCAGAAGAGCAAATTGCCCTGAGATTGGAGGAGGGGAGGCTGGTTTACCTATTTATTTATTTATCATTAGGGCTGATGAGGCACAGAGCAGCCAAGCCAACTCTGTGGCATGAGACATGCCACTGGCAAAAGCGTTTAGGCTGCTGAATAAAAGATAAAGGTGAAGGAGAACCTTCAGTCTGGGAAGATCCCAGGAGTCCAAATTCAGCCAACGTCTTTGAGGCTTGGCCGAAAGCCACCAGGAATGTTCGGAGTTCCTCTCTCCCCTCTCCCCGCGGCTGGGTGCAGCCTAGCAGCGACGCTAATGTGGGGACAAAAAAAAGGGAGAATTTTTGCATCTTCACATCCACTGTGCTACTTGTTGGCAGCAAAGAACCTATTTATTGTGCTCGCTCTAGAGCTGGTTTCTATCAAGTCGCTTCAACGTATCCCACTAAGGGCATAAAGTTGAGAGAAGCCAATGAATTATATGGTTCCTGTTAGTAGGACTCAGCAAGGCGGCTGCTGTTAATGTTCCCTCCACTCCTCCATTTGTGTTCTGCTTGCCATAAATCCCTGCACGCTTTGCTGTTGCAACCGCAGCATTACTAGTAAAAAAATGAGAGAAAATGGCTAGATTGCTGCACGCAGAAATAAAACAGAGGGTTCGTGGCTTGGCCTGGGCTATACTTTTGCTTATTGAGGTCTCAGTCTGAGTGAAATCACCTGGTGTTAAATATAAGTCTGCAGCGCCTAATGCCAGATCACAGAACATTGGAAAAGCTGCTGGATGCATGTGAGAAATGGGGCAAATTAACAATGTTCCTGAGGGAAGAGGGCTTTGCAGAAGCTGGTAGAGCAGGTGTGAACGGGCACTGGAGACCCGAGCTGTTGCGTGATGGGCTGTTGCTTCCAGCTCCGGAGAAAAGGACTGGCTGGGAATTTGATGCTGAAACTCTTTTCCCCAAATGCCAGCTCAGGGGATTTAAAGCTACACCTAAGAAAAGGTCAGTTTGGATGAATTATCTATTTATGATTAAAGGTGAAGAGAAAAGGAGTTTTCTGAGATTATCTACTATGTGTTTTGATATGATCAAAATAAGGATTTTCCATTTTGGCTCAGAATTACTTTTAAACCTGAAATTTATACAAAGCTAAAGTTAAAACTACTTGAAAATAATGCAGAGAGAGCACATGCTAGTGCGTGAATTTTGGTGCTTTGCCCCAGATTCTGATTTGTGCCAAACTTTGGGGTTTAGACTATTCTCTTCTAATGGAAGCAGGATAAAATGGAAATTTTAGCTCATGGATCATCTTTTCCTTTGAAGTGCTTTTACTAGGTGGGAATCTTGAAAATTCCCACCAGGAATGGTGGAAAAGCAGGTTCTCCATACCGTGATCTTTTCTGTTGTGATGGGGAATGCAGATGAATTTCTCTGGAGAAATTCTACTGTTTAACTTTCTGTAGATGAGAAGTCACAACGAACGAGTCTTGAGTAGGTGTTGAATACAAAAAATAGACTTCTGCAGAGGAAGATAAGACATGAACTTACTGGCTCAGTCATATAAAATTGAAGAAGATAGTAATGTCACTGCCTAGGTGACAGTTGTGTTGGTGTTCCTAAATCTTGTGGGTTTTTTATTATTTTATTCCAGCCATACTAGCAGGTCTAATAAAAGATGTGACTTTGCTCCCCAGATTTTGCCCACTTGATTGTCTACAAATGTCAAATTCTCTATCATGTCTTGAACAGATAGAAATTTTAACTGGAACTGCCTCCATCTGCAAATGTGAATCTGTTGGAAATGTTTTATAGTAACACATTGGGTTGGACAATATTGCATGGGGAGAAAGATGGAAAAAAAGAAGTGTAGAATCTCTCCCACATTGCTTGTTGGCGTAGTCRGCAGGATGGCAAGTCCTTCTTGTTCCATTTAGATTTTTATACTGTCCTACTGATGCTGATATTTTAGATAGATTTTGTTGGATGTGCTGAAGTGCTTTTAATATATACTTAGATGTTTAAAAACAGCAAAAGTTTTATTTTTTTAATCCAAACCTTTAGACATTATTAAAGCAAAATATTGCAATATGGCTGAGACAAATGCCAGAAAATTTAACATTCTAGAAAGGTAATTTCAATTTAGGATGAAAAGCAAAGGCAGAGATGTGACACTTGCATTCCACAAGACCTTTCTTTTCTGAAGATGACCATGAAAATTGCCTCTGTTATAAGAGCACTTCTAGTAGATCTATTTGCTGGCCTGCTCAGAAGCCAACTTAAGCACTTTTCTTCCATTTCTTCCAAATCTCTGAATTCTTCCTGTGTTTCAACAACTGCCCTTGGGTCATTTGTGGCTCTTGGGTCATTTGTGTGAAGAGAGAGGAAGTAAGCTGAGTAAATACATCAGCTGTGTTGAAATGCTCCAGCTCAGAAGCATTGTCTTGCTAATACCCATTCCTTGCTCGTGAAAGCATTTAATGAATATAGGCTCTTGTCTTTTCTGGGCCTTGACATTCTCTGGGAACACAGTGATCATGTCCACYCATATCCATGACTGTGAATCGGGAGTGACACCAGGGATGAACCACCTGAAAGTTTATCCTCTTGACTTTTTTCCACAGCAGCTTAGGGCAGCCCACCTGGGCATAGCACCTCCAAGGTTAAATAGCAAGCACAGCATGGTTAAATGAGGAGCTTTCAAAATAAAGGAATTGGCTTA